AGCCGGCTAATCAGAAAATCAAAATGGCAGACCCTGAATTGTGAAAAATGCTCAAATAATGTATCGTAAATGCGTTGTACCCATATGACATAATTAACATCTTTAGATACAATATACCATGTTTTTTTCCCTGTTGAGCATTAGCTATTGTCGATGATTTTTGATGTTAGTCGGGTTGTTCTGTCATAATTTTTGATGCTAGCAGCCGGTTTAGGATACGTGACCGAAATAGTGTCATCTGATTGGACAGTGGCGTTCTTTGTAAACTAGTCTTAATTTGGTGGTCAAATATCAATGAATAAGAGAATGAACGATGATGATAAGCATAACTTTTAAATAATGCAATATTGCAAAAAAAAAAAAGTTTAGACATTTCATTACTTAATGATTTTTTGTAACTGTCTTTCAGATGTCTCCTAAAAAGAGATTCAAGACCGATTCCAACAAGCCTGGCACTGCGAGAAGCCATCTCGAGGCTCATTTCTCCTCTCTTCCTGACGATGCATCATTGCTGAAGAATGGTCACATTCTCCACATTTATGAATCCTCAGGAAGCAGTCGAACCCAGACCATCAGGGTGCTACAGTCTCGGTTTCCCGCCACAGATTTTCCAGGTGTACTTGATTCTCGGATTAAAAGTCTAGTGTCAAAGACTTTGAACAAATTCAGGTGTCTTAAATCTAATCCCAAGGAATTACTAACATTTACTACAATCTGCAGTGAGGCGTTTAATGTTAGTGTTCTCACAGCAGATATCCCTGAACCTGAAGTCCAAGTCACTCATGGCATTGCTGCAGATGATGTTGATGTCGAAGCAGTTGAAGGAATTCCTCCTCCCATGCCCGTCACCAATACTCCTGCTCCTGCAGTCACCACCCCAGTAGAGCCCATGCCATCGACCTCGGGTTCACAAACACGTTATTCTTCAGAAGTGCTAACCCCTAGGAAACATCAGATGAGACAAAGACTGCAGTTTGTGTCTGCATCAAAGGCTGAGTTGGCAAAAAAGAATGCATCAAAAATAAGTGATCTGAAAGGCCAACTGAAGTGTCCAAAACGTGTTATTAATCAAGCACTAAAGCGGAAAAATGAACAGCTGATGGCAAAGGACACAAAGATAAAAGTTTTGCAAGCAAAGTTAGCTGGGCATGAGTTGGCAAAAGAACTTGCAGCTACCAAAGCTAAACTTGCACAACTGAAGCAAGCCCATTCAAAGCTGAAAACGTACAATTCTGGGAAGAAAAAGAAGGCAAAAGCAGGTGAATCCCTACGTCAGCACAGAATAGTTCAGAGGAAACTTGAGGCTGAAAAAGAAGACTTGCAAGTTCAGTTGCAGGAGGAGATAGAAAAGCCCAGTGAAGTGATACTTTGTAAAAAGGATGGGAAGACTTTCAACTCTAACTACCGCAGATGTGTTTATTCTTGTCTGGTAAACCAGGTACCTGTTGAGGCAGCAGGCCATCTGATTCAGAGCATTGTTGAGGAAATGACTGGTCAGAAACTAGATTCAGTTGCAGATCCTAGTACTGTAAGCCAGTGTGCTTATGAATTGGGCATACTTGCTGATATCCAAGTGGCAGAATCTCTTGAACTTGAGGACAATGTGAATATTGCCTGGGATGCGACGTCACTGGATGCCAAGCATGTCAATGAAATTCACATTAACTGTTCTGGGGTTAATGGTGGCTCCCCTAGAAGTCTGGTGCTGCAGGTGGAGATCCTGGCAGGAGGCACCACAGCTGATTATGTGCAACATATCTGTCAAACACTTAAAGATATTACCACTACCTATGCAGAGTTCAAACAAATTGACCATGTACATTTTCACCAAAGTGTCATTAACAAACTCAAAAGCACATTAAGTGATCGTTTGAATGTGAATCACTGTGTTAGGGTCAAGCTCGAGGAGGCTCTAGATTGTGTATTGCTTTAACTGAAATGCAACGTGCACCCACTTGACGGGCTGGCATCTGAAGCTAGAAAGTGTCTCAAGTCCCTTGACAAGG